GATCTTTCGATTTTCGTAGTCCCAAAACCGGTAACCGAACTCATCACCACCGTAACCAACAAAGACGCATTTGTTGGACTTGGCATCAAGTTTACTTCTTTCAGCAGAGTTTATGTGTACATAAGAAATACAACCAAACACTCTTAAGTATGAAAGGTTTATTTCTTTCTTGCTCCAAGCTTCCTCTGGTATTCCGCCATCCAAAGGAACTGAGGGCCCACGGTTGATCAGGTAAGCTGCAGTGTTGATAGCTTCAGCCCATAGAAATTTGGGCAATCCGGCATGTATCCTCATGCTTCTGGCACGTTCAATCAGAGTTCTGTTCATGCGCTCTGCTACGCCATTCTGCTGCGGTGTTATGGGAACTGTTGTCTCCATCTTGATCCCATTGTTTGCGCAGAAATCTATGAAACTACTGTCTCTGTACTCTCCTCCATTGTCAGACCTCAACCGCTTGACTTTCAAACCAGTCTCATTTTCCACCATGGCCTTCCATTTTCTGAAGGTATCAAAGACTTCTGATTTCTTCTTCAGAAAATAAACCCACACCTTCCTTGTTGAATCATCGATGAAGGTGACATAATATAGTGAGCCTGCAAGAGATGGAACAGGGGATGGTCCCCATACATCAGTATGAACCAATTCTAACCTTTCTGCCTTGGGAGTCTTGTCAATCTTTGTAAAACTGACTTTCTTTTGTTTTCCAAAGATGCAATCCTCGCATAGTCCGACATCTACATTCTTTAGATCCGACAGCTTCCCTTTTGACAGAAGTATCTTCATTCCTTTCTCGCTCATATGGCCAAGCCTTTGGTGCCATAGGTTTGATTTTCCATCAGCATCTGCTACTGCAATGATATTCTCTAAATTTGAGGTTACATAGAGAGTACCAGTCTTCTTACCACGAGCAATGACGAGTGCTCCTTTGGTAATCTTCCATTCACAGCCTGAAAAGGTTGTGCTATATCCTTCTCCATCAAGCTGTCCAACAGAAATCAGATTTCTTTTGAGGCCAGGAATATGTCTCACTCCTGTCAGCTTCCAGGTGGTCTGGTTTGGCAACTTTAGTCGGATGTCTCCTTTTCCGACGATCTTCAAGGTTTCATCATCAGCTAGATGAACCTTCCCAAAATCACCACTGACATAGTTCTCCATGATTTCTCGGCATGGGGTGGAGTGGAAAGATGCCCCTGAATCCAAGATCCATGATTCAATCGGACTGTTGACGCTTAAAATCATGGCATCACCTGTCTCCTCCGTAATGTTGGCAGATTCCTGTGCGCCGGTATTTTTCTTCGGTGCTCGGCAATCTCTTTTGAAGTGACCCTTCTTGCCGCAATTATAACAGGTAAAATCTTTATTTCCTATTCTTGATTTGCCCCTTCTGGATTTTGATCTGCCACGATTTGAATTTCTTTCTGAAGTTCTCCCTCTAGACTCGGTGTGCAAGGCTGAGGAGGTTGATGCTTCACCCGATTCTCTTCGTCGAATTTCTTCACTCAATACCAGATCCCGAACATCGTCGAATTTTAATTTGCTGTTTCCCGACGAACTGCTGAATGCTGTAACAGTAGCATTCCAACTGTCTGGTAGAGATGATAAGAGAATTAAAGCTCGAACTTCATCATCGAACTCAATTTCAACTGAACTCAACTGGGTTGTGATTGTGTTGAGTTCATTTAGGTGTTGTGCCATCGATGCCCCTTCCGCCATCCGCAAATTGAATAATCGCCTCATCAAATGAACTTTGTTTGAGGCCGATGGCTTCTCATACATACTGGAGAGAGCCGCCATAAGACCCGCCGTGGTCTTTTCCTTTGCTATGTTGAAAGCAACATTGCGGGATAACGTCAGTAGGATAACTCCGAGGGCTTGTCGGTCGAGAAGAGCCCAGTCTTCATTCTTCATGCCCTCTGGTTGCTTTCCTGAGAGAGGTTGATAAAGATTTTTCTGGTACAGAAAATCTTCAATCTGCATCTTCCAAAAGCCAAAGTCCGCACCATCGAACTTTTCAATTTTCACCTTCCCTTCGTCTGCAGCCATCGCTTCCACTCGAATCTGGCTTCTTTTGGATCGTTTCTGACAATTCTTGCGAACCACCGTGTATTAGAACACCACTGTCGACAAACTCGTATCGCCGACCGAAATTTCACTATTCACGAAATTTACTATTTACGTGAATAGTAATGAATAGTAACCTCGCAGAAAAATTGACAAAATTCACAACCAAAAGCTCTGATTACCAGTTGTTAGGAAAATAAACCGAGTACAAGTAATTTCCCTATAACCAGATTAGTGAGAATGCAAAAATAAAAGCGAAAAAATAATACCCGAAAATTGATAACGGAGTTCAGCCAATTGTGCTTACGTCTCCGGGCTGCTGCAGATCTTTTACTAAGAGAGAAAATTTACAGGTGTTTACAAAACACTCACTACTCACAAGAAAGCTCTCTAGTATAGGAAGAAAGAAATGTTTTGGGATGATTTTGAAGCTAAATGGGTAAGGGTATTTATAGTAGAAACTTAGGGAATAATCTTTGAAAATACCCTAAAGTGCAATGACTAAAGTGAATTTACCCATTCCTATTTTCAACAAACATCTACCAAAATTTTACCAAACTTTGAAAAACATTTTTCAAAGAAACATTTACCAAACTTTGAAAAAACATTTTCCAAAGTTGGTTGCCAAACTTTGAAACTTTTAACATGTAATAGTTCGGATCGTGAAGGAGTGAGCAGCATTTTCGAGGAAGCAGAGAATTTTTCGGTTGGTGATCTCATGAGAAATCCCATTTCAGTGAGGATGAATCATCTGATAATTCGTACTGGATCGATCTCGGTCAGAGTCCATTCGGTTCTGATGATTCAGGCCAACTGACCAGACATAAACCTGAAACAACCTTGCCCCCATCATGGTTCACTAGGAAGATCAGAACCAATAAGGGGCTATCTCCAAAATTGACATCAAACATGAGATTGTATGAAGATCCTTGGTTGTCTTTCGATGCAGCCGTGTTGCCAGTGTCACATGTGCCGGACCGGTTTAAGGATATTCATGAAGAACAACCTGTTCACATGTACCCTGCTTCAGGAGATGATGGAAAGTACAGTGGTTTGCGTTACTTTGGGGAGATTCAAGAAGAATCCGATATTGAAGATGGTGTGCTCGACAACACTCTGGCCTCTGAAAGTGCTATAAGGAGAGAGACCGAGGGCGAGTTCAGACTGCTCGGGAGATGGGAAGGGAGTAGGTTCGACAACAGAAGATTCTTCAGTTTGGAAGAGGAAGATCCAGCGGCAAGTACAAGTACGCGTCGCAAAGTATCTTTTAGGATGGAAGATCACTGCAATGAAAATCGAATCCGATTGGAGACAGGAGAAGTGTCTTTGGCAACCTTGATTGATGATGAATCCAGTACCGAAGAAGACTATGATGGTGAACAAGAGTGCAGACGAAAGGAACCAGAGATAATTTGCAGACATGTTGGGACTCAACAAAACTACCCTTAGATTGCGTTACCTGATCAATTGGCTTGTAACTTCATTACTTCAACTTCGGTTACCGAGTTCCAATCAAAGCAAGGGACTGCATCTTGTGCAAATATACGGTACAAAGATCAAATACGAACGAGGTGCAGCGGTAGCCTTGAATGTACGAGACATCAAAGGAGGAGGACTAATGGAACCAGAAGTAGTTCAGATGTTAGCTGAAAAGAGTGGCGTTTCTCTTGGCATTGGTATACTCAGTCACGTACGAGTCGTCGACAATGCGAAGCAACGATATTCCAAACATGAGCACGAAGATTGGGCACTGCATCAGCCAATGTCTAATGGTTACCAAGACGGTAAAAACTTATATTTTCGAGTAAAAGTCATCACTGCATCACTTGGTTTCCTGACCAACTTTGAAGACGTGTACAAGACATGGGCGTTTATGGCCAAGTTTCTCAATCCATCATTTGTTGAAACCAATCATTTATCCTTGATATCTGAAGATTCGGAAGCATAGTTCTCGGGGGAGGCTCGTAAAACTGAAAACCAGACGATGGACCTTCAGAAACACCTTGCAAGTTCCCCCATTAATGATATATGCAACTGAAATTGATGATTCGAGATGATGAAACCAATAGGAAAGCATGTAAAAGTATGGTACTGTGATATGTCTCTTGTTTCTGTTGGTGTTCCCATTGAGAGTAATTCCTTGTTAGAAGATGGATTTCTTTTTATCCATTTTTGTTATATATATATATATATATATATAACAGTATTACATATTTGTGTATAACATTAGTGGTGCATACAAGTGTATCCTACAACAAAAATTTTATCTTTTTTAATTTTGATCTTTGTATTTTTTTTAAATTTAGTCATTGTAATTCAAACAAAAATTACAATCAAATCAAAATCGTCAATAACTATCATTATCTCCAACAATATCATAATTAAAGAAACGAAATTAAAAACATAAATTATTAATAAATATCAAAATATTCAAAATTAAACATGCAATTTCAAACTTTGTGAATTCATTTCATTTTAATCACTGTAATTTTTTTTAATTTTATAATATAATTATAATTCAAAAACTAATATGATTTAATTTCCTTTTTATACTCATTGTTTCACTTAAATAGATCAATTAAAAAATCATTTTTATAGTTATAATTTCGTTTTCTTTCGATTTAATTTCAAAATTTACAAAAGAAATGGACCATAGTCACTTGCCAAAAACTTTTAGTGATATTATTCAAATCAAAATTGATCTCTAAATAATTTGTTAGATGAATATTTCCTTTTTTCCCCTTACATTTCCTCCTCAATTAGCCTAAAAATTGAACCTTGTAAAAGGTGTACATATAAAACGAAACGATTAGGAGTTGGAAAAAAAAAGAAAAGAAAAGAAAAAGGAGAGCAGAGCAATGTACACAACAAGACCAGACAGCACAGTCCCCGAAGCTGAAACGTGGGAAGTTTTAACTGTGTGTTGCCATGTGTGTTCCACATGTTTTGTTTTGTAAACCAAAACCATAAAAGCTCGTCTTTTAAGGCTTCTATCTAAAAAAAACTCCACTCAAGCTCACTCTCAGCTATTCAAAATCCCTATGGTACTAACATTTCAATGGTCTTTAATCACCATTTTGGTTTGCTTTTGCCTTCCTGTGATCATGAATAATTAAAACCAGTCCTGTACATGAACTGTATAATTCCTATAGTTAATAGCTTCCAATTTCTGGGTTTTCCTTGTCATTTGTTAATCATCTGAGTTTTGAGTTTGCAGATCTGTGTGGTTAGAGCAAATGGAAGATTCATGCAAAAACTGTAGGAACTGGGAAGAGGAAATCTTTTGGACCCATTTTCAGTCCATTCATTTCTCCCAACTTCTCCATGGTGATTTTCTTCAGCGCTTGGTAAGTTGTGTCTTTGCAGTTGCCACAGCCTCTTCTTTCGCTCTCCATGGTGAATTTTATTTACCCTTTCTTTGTCCTGTGCTGCAGGAAATACCGGAAAATTTTGCTAAAAATGTCAAGAAAAGGCTTCCAGAAACTGTGACTCTTAAAGGTCCCAGTGGTGTCATATGGGATGTAGGACTGACAGCAGATGATGATGTCTTGTTCTTCGATGGCGGATGGACAACTTTTGTAAAAGACCATTTGTTGATCGACAATGACTTTTTGATCTTCAAATACAATGGGGTGTCCCATTTCGACGTTCTCATGTTTGATGGCAAGAGCTTGTGTGAGAAACCATCTTCTTATTTTGTGAGGAAGTGTATGCATACGGAATCCCACTGTGAACACCAAACCAAAAGGAAAGCGAGTGAAAATCCTGATGAAATTCTGCACAACTCTTCTCGGTGTGGCCTTGAAAGCAGTCCGGAAAAATCCACCAACAATGACACCGACGCCAGGCCATCCACGAAAGCTATGGAGTACGCGGCTAGTAATAATAAGAAGAAAATCCAAAATTCGGATTCTGGTACTCGGTCCATCATGACAAAGAGGAGCCTTGGAGGCAAACAACCTTCTACTTTTCCTGTAGGAGTGAAGGTCGAAAGACTCGAAACTGGTAGGAGCACTTGGAAGACGTAATTCTAAACATAAAACCTGCATTCCATGGTTGAATTTGTTAAATTGTTATACTAGTACCTAGGTATGGTAGGGGAAGAACTTATAAAATTTTAGGGGTAAAAATAGGTTAGAAAATATCTAAAATATATGAGAAGAACCTGTCACCTAATGTTATGATCACTCCCTATGCATGACTTCGCTTCGTAGCTCGAATTGGGTGACTGATAATTGTACTCTCTTTTCTGCCCTAAGATTCGCATGATTCAGAGCATGAACATACAACAACAGAGTATGAACACACAACAACAGATGGCGATGCCTTCGGCTCATTGTGGCATGCAACAGGTAAAAGGGTTGCGACCCGAGCTGAGAAAATGAACGTCCTTTTAAAGGCACAAGAAGCAGTAACCGATGAAGGTTTTATGGTAGTTATGAAGCCTACACATGTTGACAGAAAGTTTTATATGGTAAACTTAATCCCGAACTCGATCTTGATTATGGTTCTTGTGCATACATTGTTTATCCAATCAAGTTAGACAATGATATTAAAGCTCAGCCATGTTTATTGTCTTCTTTTTCGGGTTTTTGCAGTCTATCCCTATTGCATGGGTGGTTAAACATCTCTTTAAAACAATGACAGATGTGGTTCTTCGTATGAATGAGCGTACATGGAGGACCCGATTTTTTTATCACCGAAATCGCAAAAACGGAGGGTTTTCAGGTGGATGGAGGAAGTTTGTGAAGGACAACAACATAGAAGAACGCGATGTGTGTGTATTTGAGCCTGCAAATATAGGAAGTAAACCAATCATCCTGGATGTTAGCATCTTCCGTGTTCTCCCACCTGCAGTTCATCTGAGACGAGTAAACCATCCCCCGAGCTCGCCACCGGACAAAGTTGACTTGAACTCGACACCAGACATAGTCAAGGTAATCGACGCATCATCATTACGTGCCGGAAAATAGATATGTTATAGTTTTTTAAACGCAGTTAATATGGTTTGCTAGTAGTAGCCTATACTAGAAAACATGACCAGTTGTAATCATATATGTTAATTATATGCGTGTGTTCGCTTTTAGCAATGCATGTATTGTGCAGTATCCAATTTCGTAGATAAACGTTTTAGTAAATCAAATTCTAAAACAGAGAAACACATGAAGAGAACCATGAAGATTTACGCCAGAAGAAGCTCATTTCATCTTAAATCAAGAAAGTATGTTCATTTAGTTATTTATATTCGTTCATTTAATTTTTTAAATCTTTAAAATTAAATAAATGAATATGAATACCTCCGTTCGGTTCGTTAATTATTTATCTCGTAAACTAATCTCTCTCCTACACGGTACACGAAATGAAAGAACCATAGTATTTAAATTTCTAATTGATAATATTTTTTTATTAATTCTAATTGATATTCACTTACTTTTAGTAGGCTACTTTCTCTCCTACACGTCACGACACATGAAACTAAAGAAGTATAGTCTATTTATAGTTGTGCTTCGTAAGTGTGTTTATTTGTCGGTGTACAATGAATCGCCACTTTAAGTATATAGGTAAGTGTAGAAATAAAATTAGATAAACATTGAGGGATATATCTATAAGATAAGGTTGTAATTGATTGCATATTCATATAACCGTCCCTGTTGTAATTCGAATTACATTCGATAATTTTAAGTTTACAAACTAATTACATTTAATAATATTTCAGTTTGATTCGACTTAACTCGTTTACATCCTTAATAATTTAACACTCATATATATATAATAATTTTCTGAGACGCTCTCAATGATCAAATGGATCTTCCTCACTCATTCTCGTCCATTTCATCGATTTTCGCTTTCTCAATCCTCCTTTTCTCACTCTTATGGATATTTAAACACTGTAACACCCTAATTTAGGGGTTAAATTTTAGAAATTATAAAATGGTGATTTTAATTGGTATTTTGGAAGAAAATGGAGGATTAAATTGTAAAATTTCAAAGTTTGCAGACCGTTTTATAAAGTACAGGAAATTCAGTGGCTAAACTCATAGTTTAATATTTTTCTTTAGGAGAAAATATAAAGCCTTCTCCATACGCAGTTTCCATATTGTTTTTCCAGTTTTTCTCTTCCATCAACTCTCTTTTCAACTCTGATTTAATCGCCGTCCGACTTCTGATCGATGAACCGAAACCACTATTGTGTTCGTTGTCGACCGATGAACAAAACCTCTCAAACGTTTTGTTATGAATGACGTCGTTTGTTATTAATTTCAGTCGGAAGTATCGTCGGTGTTAACCCAATTTTCGTTGGTTTTTCGTTGATTCACGTCGATCCGACCATCTGTTTTCGACACCTCCCGCATCATCATGTTCCTTGCATCGTTCCGAGTCCACCGGTGTTCACTATTTATCCATCGTCCCTGACGCGTGGAGGGGTGAGAAAGTTAAAATTTTCGATGTTTCGAAATCGAGCTCTCTGTCGTTCAAAAATTCTGAACCGAGCTTGGTAAGTGTCTCAAAATGCCTTAAAATAATTTTTAGGAATTTTTTCGGGAATTTTTCGACACCGTATCACTGTTCACGTGCCGCACGCGCCGCCACTGCGCGTAGAGGGTGTTAATTTTGTAATTTATTTCTGTTAGGGTGATGTTTGTGTAAAATTTGGGTGTTAGTTTTGTAAATATTTGTATAATGTGACTAATTTTGTAATTAATTTCTGTTAGGGTGATATTTGTGTAAAACGGTCGACTGTGGACCGTTGACCTGCGTTGACCGTCGACCGGTGTTGACCACTGTTGACCAGAACTTTGACCGGCATTGACCGGGCGTTGAACGACCTTTGACTTTGATTGGGTATACCTATTCTGATGTTTTTCGACGTTTTGAATCTTTTTTTGGGGTCTGTTTCACCAAATTTGAACCCAATAAGGTTGTTTTCACTGATTAATCACCAGATTCGATCTGTTTTTCAAAATTAAGCCTAATTTTTGATGAAATATTTATTGTAGACATTAATTTTTCATCATATTATTATTATTATTATTAATATTATATATATTATTATTAAATAAAAAATACAGGCCCAAATACATTTAAAAACCTGACCCAATTATATAACCCTAAACCTAACTAAGGTTTCAACATTTTCACCCAACCACCGCTTCTTTTCCACCGTTGGATCTGGCTTGATCCAACATCCCACAACCTTCTAGATGAAACCCTAGGGTATCATCACCCTAGGGTCCACGACTCCAGCGGCCCCAGCCAACTTCTCCAGCGCTGCTGCCACGCCAAGCTTCCGTTGAAGACTTCAGAAGCTTCCAGCCGCCTTGCCGACGCTCCCACTGCCAGGTGACCCAACCCTTTGCAGCCACAACGCTGCCGCCTCGAAGAAATCTCCAGAAACGCCATGATGCCCTCTCCACGTCGAAGCCCTATGATGAGTCACCACCATAGCTATAGTGACTCACCGAAGGGCTCCCTTTGGACTGGTCCGAGCCGAACACCGTGGTGGCTATAAAAGCCACCACTAAACCTGTAAACAGGGAGAGAACGGAGAAAGACAGAGAGACTACGACAACAACGAAGAATCGGGAGCAACAACAAACCACCAAGAACCATTCGAACCAAAATACACAAAAACGAGAGAAATAGAGAAATAGAAAGAGGAAAAGAGAGTTACCGAGAAGACTACGCAATCGTCGGAGCCACCATACACTGCCGTAAAACCGAAAGGTCGAAGGTAAAGAAAGTTAGATCTACTTCGATTTAAAGGGTTTTAGTCTAAAATAAGTTTGGATTCGGGTTTAGGAAAATAAAAGCTTTTATTTGGGAAAATTTTGTAAAGTCCGACCACCGTGGGTGGTGGCCGGCGGGGGCTGCCGGCGCGGAGCAAGGTGATCAACCGATGATCGGGGTCCCTCCGGATGGAGGCTTTTAGAGAGAGGGAGAGAGATTTATTTCATCTCTCTCTTCTCTTCTAGAGAGAGAAAAGAAATGGAAAACTGAGATAAAAATGGCCTTATGGCCGGTTTAAAGGGGTATTTATACCCTCACCAAAACGACGCCGTTTCGATGAGGGGTGTCTGTGTAATTTTCCTCAAGGGAAAACCACGTCCGCAATCCATGGAAGTTTGTAAAATTTCATTTTGGTCATTGAAAGCAATTTCTAATCCTTTTAATTTGGTCTTTTAAATTTTGTGTTATTATAATTTAGTCACTATATACATGTTTATATATTTAGGGTAAATATTAGATTTAATCCCTTAAATTTTAATAATTTATATTTTAATTTGAATATTATTTAAGGATAAATTACACTGTTAATATTTAAATAAATTAAATTTCAAATGAAATTTAAAGTTTTTTTTACAAGTTTAAAAATTAAAAGTGAAGAGTATAGGAAAAAGGTGAGTTATTCAAATTTATTTTTGGTGGGAGACTGTGTTTGGAAAATGGCGGCTTTCAATTTAAATAATTCAAATTGGATAGTTACTACAACATGTGTCTACAGTGCATCGAAAAAGCAAAGGCACATATTTCTTTTTAATACTTTTTATATTTTAATAACATGTCTAAAAAATATTTTTAAAATTATTAAATAAAACACTGTTCTTTTTAACACATAAGATAAAAGTAGTGTCACTTCAATTATATATTTTAAAACGTAAGAACATTTATTGTTCCTAGATTTTATGTTTTTTTTCTCTTTATGGCCATAAGTTTTATTACTTTTCAATTTAATCTTATAATTTTAATTTTCTTGTTTAAATTATTTTATTACCCTTTATGTTGCAATAATTAAATAATGGTATTTATTATTATTTTATTTCATATGAATATATTTAATAATAGTATTTACTTATTTCAATATTAAGAAAGGGCAGTCTTAACGTAACTGGATGTCATTTTCTGATATTTTTAAATAAATAAATATCCTATTTTTATAAATTATATATATTAATCTATTTTTTTAGAAAAATGTTTTAATACTTATTTATTTTTAATATTAAGAAAAGGATAGTCTTAAAGCAACTAGATGTCCTATTCTGGTATTTTAAAAAATAAATAAATATCTTATTTATAAAATATAAAAATTAATATATTTTCTTAAAGTTATACTAATAAATTTGAAATAATAGGATTATAAATTAAATATATTGTTGAATTCTTAAATTTCCAATAATAGAGACAATTTATAATTAATGAGTACCAATTTTGGACGTTATAGGGGTGCTAATCATTCCCTAAACGTAATCGACCACGAATCCCTTTTTACTAAAATCTTTGGTTATACGCTGATCCGTTTTATCTTTTAAATTATGTTTTATTCAAAAAAATATTTTAAAAGATTGTTTTTAGGTATTTGACCTACCTAACCCAAAAAAAGGTCAATGGCGACTCCCAAAACATTTTAAATCAAAATTATTTATTTCTTCACATTATTTTTCCCGCCAAGTAAAAATTCGTGCTGGGTGAAAACCGGTTACGACAGCTTGGCGACTCCACTGGGGACTGGTCAAGCTTTGAAATTAATTATAAATTGTCTCTATCAATTAGAAATTAAAAATTCATATTTATTTAATTATAATTCTTTTCTTTCAAAATTTTTATTACTCATGATTTTCATAATATTCATTATATTTTAATGTTTTTATTTTATTTTCATATATTAAATTTCATATTATTTGTTTGTCAAAAGGTTTGAATATTTCTCCTCACACACAACACTTGCATTGCATAACATAAGCTTTATAATCAAGCTTGTCCCTTTTAAGTGGGAGTGAAAGCGACGTCTTCGTGAGAATTTATTCTCCGTGTCAGACCTAGCAAGTAGCTTTCGGGGTTCATATGCTCTATATATTCGTGAGAATTTATTCTCCATGTCAGGCATAGAGAAATGTATCCCCTCGAATTAAACTCGATCCGCTTAAGTCTATGATGGACTAGAATTGAGGGTTTGGCAGCCCAAGGGGGCACCAAC